TGCTGGAGGCACTGGAGCTGGAGCTGCTGGAGGTGCTGGAGCCGCTGGTCCCGAAGGTGCTCGTACTGGAGGTACTGGAGCTGCTGGAGCTGGAGGTGCTGCAGGCGTTGGAGCTGGAGGAGCTGGAGCTGCAGCTGCTGGAGGTACTGGAGCTGCTGGTCCCGGAGGTGCTCGTACTGGAGGTACTAGAGCTGCTAGAGCTGGAGGTGCTGCAGGCATTGGAGCTGGAGGAGTTGGAGCTGGAGCTGCTGGAGGTACTGGAGCTGCTGGAGCTGGAGGTGATGCAGGCGTTGGAGCCGGAGGCACTGGAGCTGGAGCTGGTGGTGCTGCTGGAGTTGGAGCTGGAGACCCTGGAGCTGGAGGTGCTGGCCCTGGGGATGCTGGTGCTGTCGGTGCTGGTTCTGGAGGCACTGTGCGGCCGCGACCGTACTTCATTCCACTGCTTCAGCAGGTTCTTGGTCTCCCGCCTTCTACTGGCCTTACTCCTCCCTTACTGTGTCCGCCGCCTGACCGGACACAGCCGCAGTTACAGCAAGCCTCCCCACTGCCTGCTGCTTCTCCTTATACTGAGCAGACCGGAGGTCTTACAGAGCGTCGTGAGCCTACGTCTCGTCCTGCGTCGTTGTTCGTGCTGTTCGCACTGGTCGTCGTGTTCCACGTCAGCGTCCTCCTCCTGTCCCCGGCATGCACCAGATGACACTTCGTCCTTCCTGTGTTCCACAGCGTATCCCTCTGCCGTCTCCTCCTGCATCCTCTCTTCCTGACGTTGCTGACACGCCGTCAGACCTTGCTCGTGCTGCCAGTCCTACTGTCACACGTCTTCTAGCCACTGTTATCACTGACCCTTCGTTTGAGTCCACTGCTGCGTTGGCCCTAGTTGCTAAGCTTGATGACTTTGCTGCCGCTTGTCGCCTTGACTACGCCGCTAGTCTTGTTGCTGAGTCTGAGTCTGTCTGTCCTCCGTCCGTTGGGGGTGAGTGTGCTCTTGGCACGGACGTCCTTGAGGACAGGCAGGAGGACTTTGAGTGTTTTGCAGCTACTGTACCTCATCTCGTTTCCATGCTGATTACACCTGAGGGAGACCCAGATGCACCAGACATCCCGACCCCGCGCTCTTACGCAGAGGCGATTGAGGGTCCCTACTCCTCTCAGTGGCAGACAGCCATGGACGTAGAGATGGCATCCTGGAAGTCTACAGGCACCTACGTCGACGAGGTTTCCCCACCTGGGGCGAATATCGTCAGTGGCATGTGGATTTTCAGGGTGAAGCGGCCGCCGAGTTCTCCGCCTGTCTTCAAGGCGCGTTACGTTGCATGAGGCTTCGGTCAGCGACAGGGAGTTGACTTCTTCCAGACCTTCTCCCCTACCCCGAAGATGACCATTCTTTGGGTACTGTTGCACGTCGCCGCTTAGCGTGACTACGAGCTTTACTCTCTTGACTTCAGCACATCTTTCTTACAGGGCAGCCTGCACTAGGAGATCTGGCTGCGCCGCCCACCTGGCTTCACTGGGTCGTTTCCTGCAGGTACCCAGTGGAGCCTCCGGCGGCCAGTCTACGGTCTCCGCCAGGTGCCTCGCGAGTGGCACGACACACTGGGGACGACTCTTGCGGCTCTTGGGTTTGCTCCTTCGACTGCTGACCCGTCGCTGTTTCTACGCACCGACACTTTGATGCCGCCGATCTACATCCTCGTGTACGTCGACGACTTGGTCTTCGCCACTACTGACAATGAGGGACTAGCCCTAGTGAAGTCGGAGCTGCAGAAGATATACACGTGCACAGACCTGGGTGAGCTGCGCAGCTATCTTGGCTTGCAGATCACCCGGGACAGAGCACGGCGCACCATTACCTTGACTCAGTCACACATGGTGCAGCAGGTCCTTCAGCGCTTCGACTTCCAATACTCCTTGCCACAGTCCACTCCTCTGCCTACCGGTCACTCGCTCTCAGCTCCACCTTCGGACGAGTCCGTAGAGCCGAGTGGCCCGTATCCAGAGCTTGTGGGCTGCCTGATGTACCTGATGACCTGCACTCGACCTGACCTTGCTTACCCTCTTAGCATCCTGGCACGCTATGTTGCGCCCGGGAGACACCTACCAGAGCACTGGAAGGCCGCTAAGAGGGTGTTGCGCTACTTGTGCAGTACGTCGGGCATGGGGCTCGTGCTTAGAGGACGGGGTCCAGTTATCCTCACTGGACACGCAGACGCCTCTTGGGGTGACGACTTGGCTACGCAGCGGTCGTCACAGGGTTACACCTTCAGCCTTGGCTCCGGCTGTGTTTCTTGGCGGTCTACCCGCTCGCCTTCTGTTCTCAGTTCCAGTTGTGAGGCTGAGATCTACGCAGGGGCCATGGCTGCACAGGAGTTACGCTGGCTCACCTACCTGCTGACCGACTTGGGAGAGCCGCCTTGTTCTCCTCCAGTTCTGTACGTCGACAACAAGGCCATGATTGCCTTGTGTCAGGAGCACAGACTGGAGCACAGGATGAAGCACATCGCTCTGCGCTACTTTCTTGCTTGTGAGCTGCAGCAGCGTGGTAAGGTTAGTCTTGTTTATGTGGCCTCTCGGGCCAACACTGCTGATATCTTCACCAAGGCACTTAAGCCTTGTGATTATCAACGTTTCTGTACTGTTCCAGGCCTTGTGCCTACTTGGCCTCACTTGCTCACTTCTTGACTTTGCTTGTACTGTGGCCTATATACTTATACTTGCATACTTACACTTGCTAGGTTTTGATCACTGTACTGCTTGTTCTGCATTATATGACTCTGCATGTGAACTGGTTTTGTGACCATTTGCTTGTGCTCAGAGTGTGTGGTGACTTCGTGATCCACCCTGAGCTTGCTTTGCTTTTTTTGACTGGTCTTGTGACCTCTTGTTCTCCCCCACTTTGCCTATAGGGGTGTGTCAAACTTATATGTTGTGTAGGCTACAGTGGGATAGCCCATATGGGGTACAACCCAATCAGGGTTAGTACTTGTACCCATCTTGCTGCTAGTCTATTCATCCTCGCTTGGTATTCTGACAGTTATATGACAATCTAATCCTAAATATTACATATTGAACCTCCTTTTCAAGTTCATTTTGATTCATTAGCTTTTCTACACATTATGACGCACAGCACTAAATCTGGCTGTCTCGTTAGAAAATAAAGTTGGAAGAATGTATTGTTAGAAGATGTTACAATCCCAAATGGGACTTAGCGAAGGATCGCTCAGGGTTGATCGCAGAGTACTGTTGCAGTGGAAGTAGTCACCTCAGGTCAGAGTAAATGCAAATGGCTGAGATTGATAATAGCATGCATACATCGAGTTTATATAGGAAACACAAAGGAATACGAAACGACCTAGACTAGCCATGTAGTCTAAGGGGCATTCCCTTATTACAGCGAAGTTCAAACCGTGCGGCACGGGAACCCGTTTCAAACCTGTTCTCGCTCTTTTCACTTCAATATTTTTGCCTGCATCGGTCTTGGTCAGACGGTTACCAGCGTCGCTTCGACTCTTCTGACTCCTCGACTTCGTACTCGGTAGAGTCAGCTCCTGCAGCATACAGAATGCTTTCTCATAAAGTTTCATATCGTAACAAAAAAAACCAATGTGCCTTGCGGCCAAGGTAGTTTCCGAGTTGTGAAGAGAAAAAACGAGATCAGTTGACAAAAAAAAAAAGGTCAAAACAATCTATGGCAATTGTTCTTCCATTCGAACATGCCGAAGGCTCTGAGCTTAGGAGGAAAACAACCGTCACTCCTCATCTAATGCTGCAAATTTTCTTCCTCCGAGCTTTCGGTTGCAAGCAAGGGCACGTGTAGAGAATAGACTTCAACATGGTATCCTTGTTTTGACAAGAAGAATGCCAGTGCTTCTCACCATACTATATAAGTATCATTCATCCCTTCTCTAAAAAAACAGGACTTGTAAAATATCAGCCTGCCCACTTCAGATGGAAGGGGTAACGTAAGGAAAAAACCAGAGTATTTGATAGAGTGGTTCTAACTGCTCTTGGGTTTGGACAGTTCCTAATATGCTAAAGTAACGTCCTTCCAGCTTTCCCCCACGCCGTCCGAGGCGGAAGATTTGCGCTGATCCATCATTCCTCTTCCCCCCACCCCAACCAGCACTGTCCCCGCCCCATATCGGTTCCCATTTTCTAAGCCAAGTTCTTCTACCTCCTGCCAAACATATCATCGCCAGTGATTTCGTTTGGACCACTTGTAGCAAGAGAAGGTGCGACTGTGGGTGGTAGCCAATCCTCATGTAGGGTGGGGTGAGAGATGACGCGGATCAGAATCCTGCTGGGCGAGAGGGGGCCCCTGCATCAGCGCCGCTGATTTGTCAGCTGAGTACCGTAGCTCAGTTGAGTCAACTTCAAAACTCGGATGATGCCATCTCAATCTTACAAGCTCCTCGATTTTCCGCTGCTTTTCGAACTAACTACTAGCAGCAGGCCGCTTCGCGCCACAGATGCCGCAGCCCAAGTCAGCGACGGAGCGAGCATGGCTTGCTCCCTTCGCGCTTTGGCTTGCGGCCTTCGCCACCTCGTGCCGCTGTGCGGAACTGCTCCTCGACTCCCAAGGTCCGCATCAAACGCAGCGCTCGTTTTGGGCACGCGCCCCAGCGGGCCGAAAGCCGCGCTCGCTCCCTCGCGCGGACTTCAATTGTTTGCATCTGCTGCGAATGAGACTGGTAGCACGTTTCATCATGATTCTCAGGTTAGGGTGTGTCGATGACATGATACCGCCGTTGCCTTGGAGCCAACGCATAGAATATGGCTTACTTGCTTAGTAGGTGAAACTGTTGTAGATGGTACCGCGCTCATCATCCCTCGCGCACTGCTGCCGACGGGTTAAGCGGTGACGTGACACCGCCGGTGCCGCGATTGCAAAAGGAGATGAATATGATAAACGAATCGCAGGTTGTACCCATAGGACACCACAATGGCGCCTTTTCTCGCTTGTGCGTTCTCTCCTCTGCTCCCCTCGCCTCTCCAACTGGCAGCGGCGGTTCTCATCGGCTTGCAGAAGTCATGGGGAGTGACGATCGAGGGGTGGACGAAAGGAGCGGACTGTAACGTGTTGAGCCTCAGCACCCGCATTGGATGTGACGGCAGAGGCATGATTTCCATGCTGTGAGTGCACCCGTCGTGCAGCTTGGAATGGGAGCAGGCTGGTGCCTGCTGAAACGGTGCAATGTGTGCGGGAGTTGCATGTACTACATGTAACCCTAGTAGGGGTAACCTCAGATGTTCCCAGCGATCATTCCAGCGGGATGCGCAGCTGCGACCCGTGTCGTCCGCATGACGTTGCCTTTCTCACCTTGGAGTACAAAGGCTGTCACACCATTGTCTGCATGCTCGCTCCACGCACGGCTTTGACCGCTGTCCTCAACCCACGTCCCTGACTCTCCCATCACAGAGATCTTTCTAGCCTCAACTTGACCGGCTCCATTCCCGAAAGCATCACCTCGCTCTCGTCTCTCTCGGACTTGTAAGAAGCTGCCACGGGATCAAGGTGCCATGACGCTTCAATCACGCTTTCGCATGAGTCCACCTCACACTTATCATGCCCCCGTTTCCTCCAGTGCCTTTCTCCTTCTCCCTAAGCCTGCTCTGAGCACTTAATTGCAGATGGACTTTGCCTATGGATTGGCTGTAAGCGGCTGTTTCCCATTTCGTTCCTCGCCTATGTGATGTGACCAACATTCTGGTCTAACTCCTCCTTGCATCCGCCACCGCTTTCTCAGACAAGTTAACTCGCCACTCTACTCCCTCTGTGAACAGAAGGTTGAGCACAAATGAGCTCTCTGGGTCCATTCCAGCTGTTATTGGAAAAATGCGCTCCTTGAAAAACGTGTAAGTCGTGTGGAGCAGGCTCCTTATGCCTCTCATTCACCCTGCCGAGCTGCCAATGTGTGCTTGAGTGACAGACGGACAGGCTTCAATTGTGTTGTCAGACGCTGCATGCTGAACCAACTTGAACTGACCTCTGTCGAGGAACATGACAAAGAGCTTTCAAGCCCTTTGAAACTCTTCAATGCATGCAGCACTTGGGGCATTCCACACCAAGGCGAGCATCCGGAAGTGCAGCCATGCATGCATTCTGTTGGTCTATCTACATGAAAGCTCCATTCTCCGAGGATTGTTGCGGCATCCTCCAAGCGAGGCGAAATCTAACGGCCCGCGTTTTCTTCTTGCTGCAATCTCGAAACATACGCCACAGCTTGTTCTATTTCATTTTGTTTTTTCCTTCTTTATATCATGCTTCCCATCATGCTCGTCTCATCGCCCCCAGGTGTAGCTTATGTGTGCCTGCTCTCCCTCCTGGCTCTCGCACTGTTACCATCTCCATGCCTCCAACGCACCCGGTGCAGGAATATCTCCTATAACTCTTTGACCGGCTCCATTCCCGACAGCATCACCCTCCTCACGGGACTAACGGCATTGTGAGAATCTTTTTTCACGGGACGGGTTGTGCTACTATGGCGCCTGAATCAAACTTGGCCGTGATACAAGGTTGAGTGTCAATGGACCCCAACCAGGGATCTGGGGAGCAACTTTCTTACTGGAAACCTTCCCAACAACCTGACTGCGCTCACTGCACTGAAGTTGTTGTAAGAAACTCCCTTGTATCGTTTTGCCATGGTGCTTGAATCACACGCGCCCATGATAAATTCTTGCGTGACACCATGTCTTTTAATGCAACACCTGTCACTCACTCACACTGCCATTGTTTGTGTAAGGGGCTGGTTCTCATTTTCTTCCTCGCATATAGACCAACCTTTTGCATAAACTTCTTGCATCCACCGACACTTTTTTTCTTACAATCGCCCTATTCTCATCAGAGAAGAAAAATCGTCAAAGACGTAATATTGCCGCTCTCCTCCCTCTACCAACAGAGCCTTGAACAATAACGGGCTCAAAGGTTTTATTCCTGATGGCTTTGGAAGCATGCAGTCCTTAAAAATAGTGTAAGTCATCTGAAACGGGCTGATGCCGATGCCTTCCATTCACCTTCCATTCAAGTGCTGGTCCCAGAACTCGGTTGGCCGGATTCAGTTGAGCTTTTTGAAGGCTCGCAGACCGACATATAAGGCTGGTCCGACGTGGCTCGCCTGTCCCTCTCTTGCTACGGAAGGGAATCGAGATGAAGTTTTAGGCTCAAAATGGAAACAGTTGGATGTAGGTCCAAGGGAACGTTTCGAAATCGAGTAACATCTTTGCTGTGCCGCCGGTTGGTGATTTTTTTCTAGTGGTTGGAATCTCTTGATAGCAAAGGTTGAAGTAAGCTTAAGTGGTGATTCTTGGCTGGTAGCTGTGTCGGATCCTATAGAAGGCGTGAAGTAAAGTGGGCAGTTTATGCGGTCTTTTTTACGACCTCAAAATGTGCGTCAAATAGTGGTGAAATCGCCATGAAATAGTGATGTTTCCACCCTCCCCTACTCGCGTCCTCACCCACCCTGCGTGGTGAACCAAGAAATGGCGTGCGTGGTTTGGATCGTGTGCGTCACTGTCCATGCCCAACTGAGGCAGGAAAGTGACCCGGACCAGCCTGGCCCGACCCGACCATAAATGTAAGCTGGCCATATCCTGCGCCATGCCACGGGGCTGGCTATGGCCCGCCGCCCTGTGCCTTGCCGGGCCGGTTCGCGGCCCGGGCCATGATGCTCATGATGTCTCATGGATATGTTTTTTTGTAAGCCACAGATTTGCAGACCCGTGAAAATTTGGGTGCAAATGACCAGATCCGCACGGATTTGGTAACGAGCTGTGTGACTTGTGAGATTAGGTGGCAGAAGGTGGTAGCATTTGAGTTTCTAGGGTTTAGGTTCATGTGCTTTGTGACGTAATCACGCGGTTTTTTGTTTGTTTTATTCAGAGGGGCAGACCGGTCGCAAAGCAATCACGTAATTTTGCACGTATCACAATCAATGGGATATACGCTAGCAATCATCCGTGATGCACTTCGGCGCCAAAGCATACTTCCATTGTCGCTACCCTCTACTCCGATGCAAACCAAAAAGTGACCTGCGGAGTTCGGGTTGTGTGCGCGTTACTGTCCTGGCATGACTGGGGCGGAAGAAAATTGACCCAGACCTCCCTGGCTCGCCTCTGCAGATCCAGGATGCGACTGGGGCTGCTGCCGCCGACCCATCAAATTGGGCTGGGGACTGGGCCAGTCAGTCAGGGGACCCGGCCAGCGAGGGGACCCGGCCAGGCCAGCCAAGTGATCGGGGTGGCCCATGGACCGAGCCAGCCAAGGGACAGGGCCAGGGGACCGCAAAAAAATCCCATCCTGGCCAAATAAAACCAATGCTGGGTCGGGCGCCTTCCCCCCACATCCTGGCCCATGCTCATGCCTACTCCACACCATGGCAAGTAGCAGTACTATCCGAAAGTGCAGCCATGTGTGCGTTCTGTTGTGCTCTCTGCCCGCCCCGGCATTTCCCTAGACCTCCCAAGTCCGCTGCAGCTAATTCTCCTGTTTTTGCACCAAACAATGCTTTACACCATGCGCGTGTCATGATGGAAAGCATGTGTACGTTGAGTCGCATATGTGTACGTGCACCCCCTGCTTCCTGGCGCACTGTTACCATCTCCCTGCCTCTTCCAACTCATCCATGCAGAAATTTGAAGAATAATATTCTTACCGGCACCATTCCCAACAGCCTCACACTTCTCACGGGACTCAAACGATTGTGAGAAGCTCTTACATGGGAGGGATATTACTGCCATGCCACGATGCTCCAACAAGCTTGCATGTGACACCACGTCACAGCTCGTCATGGCCCTATCTCCGGTTCGGTTCTTCTTTCACCACCAAAGCCTGCTTGGATGAGTTTTGAATTTGGGCACTTGAATAGCAGAATACAACGTCCATCCATGCACTGCATCCGTTTTCTCTGACATTGGTTGTTTTTTTTTTGCCACTTCACATCTCGCCCCTTGCCCATTGAGCTGTTCTTTGAGTAAACTTGTTGCATCCACCGCGTTTTGTAAACAACCGCCTAGTTTGCGAAGTAGGGTTTAGGACCTGAACCCATCCACGCATGATCTCAACAGAATTGTTGCCTAGTCTACCTAGTAATCTATGCCAACCCCCTCGTTCATCCTAGGGCTAGGTTAGGGGACAATTTTTGGCAGCCGCCCTAACTAGGGAAATGTCACACACAGCAGTGTGACTATAAGGAAAGTTGAACTCGAACCGAACACAGATATCACTTTGATCGAACAGGCAAATGCTCGGGTCGAACATGCATGTGTTCGAACATGGTGAGTGAACACTCAAACACAAGAATGCAGGAATTTGTCGAGACGAATTGAGCATGTTTGACTTGAATCCATAAGGTGTTTCAGTAGGTTTTTGACTGGAACACGTTCATGTTGGGATCTTGCTATTTCCTTGTTTGAACCATAACAGAGGAGACCATTAGATCAGATCAGTACTTCACCCATTTTCCATCCTCCATGAACAGAGACTTCAGCAACAATAATTTCGCCTTTTCAATTCCAGCTGGATTCAGAAGCCTCTTTTCCTTGCAATATCTGTAAGTTGTGTAGAATTAGCAGATGCAGAGGATAAACGATTAAGGTAAAAGGACACAATTCTAGATTGCTTCGTTTGACATGAGATTTTGTTTGTGCAGCACCTCTCATTCCGTTCGTTTTCTCAAGTGACAACGAGCGCGCAAGCTTCACTGCGGTTGTCGGACTCTGCATGCGTGAAAACAGCTTGAGCTGACCTTTGTGTGAGGTTCATGTTGAGCCTGCAAACCCTTCGAAACTCTTCAAGGGCAAGCTGCGCTTGGGGCATTCCACACCAAGGCGAGCAGCTTCATCCAGAAGTGCAGCCATGCATGCATCCTGTTTGTCTTTGTCATCCATAGGTTCTTGCTTGTCTCATCATCCCGTTGATTCATTCGTTGAGTGCCTGCTCCCCTTCCTGCCGTGCCTACTGTTACCATCTTCCCACCTTATCCAACGCCACCAATGCAGGAACATTGGAAGCAATGCAATGTTTGGATCCATTCCGGACAGTTTCAGCTTGCTCACTGCACTCTTAGGCTTGTAAGTAGCTTCCACTGAATCCCGCATGACACTTGACTCATGCTACTGGGTTATATTGCCATGACACTTGACTCATGCCACTGGGTTATCTTGCCATGACACTTGACTCATGCCACTGGGTTATATTGCCATGACACTTGACTCATGCCACTGGGTTATCTTGCCATGACACTTGACTCATGCCACTGGGTTATATTGCCATGACACTTGACTCATGCCACTGGGTTATCTTGCCATGACACATGACTCATGCCAGTGGGTCATCTTTCCATGACACTTGACTCATGCCACTGGGTTATCTTGCCATGACACTTGACTCATGCCACTGGGTTATCTTGCCATGACACTTGACTCGTGGCACTGGGTTATATTGCCATGACACTTGACTCATGCCACTGGGTTATCTTGCCATGACACTTGACTCGTGGCACTGGGTTATATTGCCATGACACTTGACTCATGCCACTGGGTTATCTTGCCATGACACTTGACTCGTGCCACTGGGTTATCTTGCCATGACACTTGACTCATGCCACTGGGTTATCTTGCCATGATATGGAGCTTGCTCATGTGACACCAGTTTCCAGTTCGCCATGTTTGTCACAGTTCTCCCTGTCCTCGATAGCTCTTTCCTTCCACTGCCAAATCCTGCTCAGATGAGCGCTCTGAGCAGTTTCATCTCCCTGTCCCTGAATTTTGCTTCCGTTTCTAGAATTTTCCAGTTCTTATCATGCCGTGGCCAGCCGTAGCGATGAGTAATGGCCCAGATCTAGCCAACGCCTTGGCTTGTCAAATAGCCGAGCTGAGCCAATGACCCTGCCTTGGCAGCTCATCACATGACACACGCTGAGCTGCAAGCCGGCGCATCCAGCCTGCAGGCTCGTCAATGGGCCTGTCTTGGCTTGTCGACGGCTGCTTCAATTCAATCTCCTTTTTTCCTCTCCCCCCCCTCGCCCACCCCCCCTCCCCCTCCCCTCCCCCTCCCCTCCCCATTGTTTCCACAACAAAGTGTTCTTGGAGCTTATCTGACAAAATTCCCACGTGTTTCCACCCATAGTTACCCAGGTCGTTTCAGGTCATCCAACCCCTTGCGCACCCACTTGGGCGTTCCCCATGTTTACCCTCACTAGAAAACATCTAATACTCTTCAGTAAATCCACAGATCTTCAAGGCAGAAATGCCAGATGTGCACGAATTTGCCAAATTCACACGGATCTGGCAGACATAGGAGAACTGTACCTTCTCGCAGTCAGCTGTCGCGGTTTGTCCTTTCTCTGCCAGCTTGCCTACAGCAGCAAGCCGCACGCCAACCTTCTTACTGGCGCGGCTTGGTCCGCTTGACAGACAGCCTGCTTGGCTTGAGGCATTACTCATACCTAACCTAAACCCTAAACCTCACACCTAGACCCTAACCCTTTTCATAAGTGAGTTGTATCCATCGCTTTTCTGCAGGCAATCACTGAACTTTCATCAACGAATAGATTCGACAATCTGAATAGTAATCTCGCCTACTTTCCACCTTTTTGTGAACAGATCCTTGAGCAATAATGAGTTCACCGGGTCCATTCCAGCTGGAATTGGAAACCTTGCGTCCCTAAGATACTTGTAAGTCATGTAGAATAGGCTGATGCTGAGGAGTAAGGTTTGAGGTAACTATTAGTTTGTGTATGTAAGTAACCGGCATTAAGCTACTACCTCGGAAGCATTGTTGATAAACCACTATGTGACCTAATGATGTCCTACTTCCGTTTCACCCTGCTGCACCACCACGGAGTGCTCACCGTAGGAGCTTGGTGTTCATAACATCAACGGGTTCTTTGTGAAAAAGAAGCATGCGCACGGCCAGAACCAGGGCCGGCTTGGGCCAGGCTGGCTTGATCTTAGGAAGGGTCAGTCCTGCGCCGGCCAATTATGTGCCAGGGTGAGAATTCTCCCAACTCATGGCTTGTCTAGGAGGGTCGAACCTTGAATGTCTTGTGAGGAGCTGGTCTGGCTTTTGGTGATCCAGCCGACTCGCGAGCCTCACTAGGCTCGCCATGATCATGATGTGCCGTTTGATACAGTCACACCTCCAATGGGACATTTATACTGGTCATTGAGCCCTTGAATAACCGAAATGCTTTGGAGCACGTGTGTACTCTGCATCGTCGCACCACCCTCTCTTCTCTGCAATCTGTATGCTCGCTGCTTACATTTTGCTGCTCCTCATCTCGTCCCTAGCCTCACCTATTGGACCAACCTCTCAAGTAAACATAACAGTAACCTCCACTTATGGCGCGCAGAGTCTGAACAGCCAGTTAAGCCAAATCAGTCAGCTAAGAGGTTGCATTACAGAATTATCTGGAAAACTGCCATTTCTCGTAATCTGTGTAATCTGCCTTGCCTACCTTGGGCCACTGTTACTTTACCATCTCCCATCTTTTTAACTTTACCCACACAGGAAACTAGGAAAGAATTCTCTAAACGGCTCCATTCCCAACAGCCTCTTATCACTCAAATCACTTTCTGAATTGTAAGCAGCTCCCATGGGATACTTTTGCCATGGCACGAGGCTCACAGAGGCTCGCACGTGACACCACTTCCCACTGCGAAAGCTTGCTGCTTAGATGGGCTGTAAGCATTGTAGTGGGAGAAATGTTTGCAGGACTTGAATGGCAAAGTTGATTTGCATAAGCTTTGCAAAATAATCTATCATCTGCCACTTCTCATGTCAACTCTGACCTATTGGAACTGGAATATTATGTAAGCTTCTCGAATTCATCAATATCCTGGACACCACCCATCGGCGAAGTGCATCATAGGAGACCATCAGAGCAGTAATTTCACCTGATGTTTACCCTATGTGAACAGGGAATTGACAAATTTATACCTCACTGGGACTATTCCACCTCCAATTGGGAACCTTCCTTCCTTGAAATATGTGTAAGTCATGTATAACAGGTCCATGCTGAATTTATTTCAGTTTGTTGGATGAACTTCCATCTATGCATGAACACAGTACTGGCCTTTTGTACTGCTGCTATGCGGTTCGGGTCGAACTAGTCCGCGTTCGACTTGAACATGCTCAACTGGTTTGACAGTTTGACGCGGGCGTGCAATTTCGGTCGTCTGATTCCCCGTAAGGGCAACCTGAAGTTCGTTTTCCACGTTTCTAACAGCAGTGAGCGCTCGTTGTCACAGAATGTAGTGTAAGTGCAATATATTCAGTTGTATGCTAGTTGTGGTGTAGAGGGGTGTAGAATAGTGTTATGTGATGGTATCAAGGAGGAATTGTTGGGTTTCAGGAGAGTGGTGCGGAGTAAATTGGGAAGAGCTCAAGGCGCCTCGAGGGACAGGAAATCGGCATTGGCCAATCCAAGGCCCAGGAGATTCAGACCCAGCCCAGTTCGTAGAGACATCCACAACACGGGAAAGGGGAATAAGTAGCCTAGTCTAGCACATACAACTGTGTTCTCTCGTTTGTTTGCGTTGCTCTTATTAGTGGATATATGTTACCGATCTACAGCTGACTCCAGCTGAGGTGACTAGGCCACTGTGGGCAGCCATCCTATGGGAGGCCGAATCTCTGGTAGTGGCTGAGGCAAGAGAGAGGGCATATCAGTAACATCAGGACATGGGGAAAGGGGGACAGGAGAGGGGAGTATGAGATGGATGAAGGAGACACTGGATGCAGCAAAGAGGAGGGGTTTCCGACAGCGTCTCAGGTGCTTCTGTCTGACTAGACATGAGCAAAACACCAGACCGAACCAGTTCAATGTATTTACTATCGCTTAAGAACCGGTTCACATAACTGAGCAGTTTGATTTAAAGGGAACCGGTGCTCCCTATGGCCAATTCGAAGTGAATCGGTGCAAAATAAGGCTCGAACCATCCCCCGTTTCACACGAATCAGTTCGGTCAAATGCCTGCTGTCACGAAAAGTTTCCATCAAACAAAAGGGAGAAAAAAAAAAAACATTTTTTGGGCATCGCTTGGCCTGGCCTGGTCCAAACTGTTGCATGAATCAGATGACTAGAGGCCCGACATGTTAGGTTTGGTTTTGAATGGGCTGGCCTGAGTTTCGGTCGTGACTCCACCCTTGCTCGTGTTTGCCACAAGGTATGTGTCAACCTTGTCCTGAAGTGACATTCTGCACAAGTGTGGCACCACAGTTGTCGCAGTGGGTGGGGTATGACGACCCCCGTTTGACACCACAGTTGACACGGTAGGGAAAGACAACACATTGGTGCCTTGTTCTTAAAGAATTACTTATTGCAAATGGTATCACTGGAATGAATGAGATACAAGCTGAGCTAATAAGGCAAAAAATGCGAATGAGATGAAACAAAATGTAATCATGAGAGAATGTATTAAGAAGGTAATGTTGAAATGTACATGTAAAAGCAACGTTCCCTATCTCGGTGCTAGATGTTGAACGTAGTCCTGTTTGACAGGGTAGCCGCGTAGAGGATGACAACGGGCATTACTCGCAACACTTCATGAAACCGTACCTACACTGTCCAGTCCAACAAACAAACGAGTACTTTTTCAAAATGCCATTTCCAGGTAAGTTGCAAGGAAATGGTAAGAAAGGAAAGCGTTAATTTGCAGATTGTGGAGTAGTAGGTTAGGGTGAAACCCTTACTGATCATAAAACTCCTTCAGTTTCACAGCAAGAAGCAGAATTAATATGCAGTCTAGAGTAGACAGGAAAGAAGGGTCACCATATAATAGTACTGCGCAAAGTCCACTGTGCTCCATTAACATCCCCGTCCCTTCTCTACCTAGTTTAGTACCATCCATTTTCAGCCCCTTCGATTTTTAATTGGGTTTGTCCCTTATACCACTGCCTTGCGCTGCAAACCCACTGCAGCTTGTTCTCCTCTGTGCACCAAACAAGGCTTCCCACCGCGCTCCAATCATCACCCATTCGGATCGCTCGTGTGGACCTGCTCTCTGCCCCTCTAATGTTACCATCTCCCCACCTTTTCCAAATGCTTCCCTTTCAGGAAACTGAGTTTCAACCTTTTGACAGGCTCCATACCCAAAAGATTCACCTTCCTCACATCACTCGAACACCTGTAAGCAGCTCTCATTTAATACTGTTTCCATTGTGCTTGATTTACGCCACAGTGGTACAAACTTGCGGGTGACACCACTTCCCATGTCATCATGGCCCTACCTCCATTGCTCTTCTCCTTGCCCTGCCATGGCCTGCTTGGATGGGTTGTGAGTGGCAGAAATGGTTTGCAGCATCTGTACTCTCTGCATGCTCACACTTTCCACAATCCCTGCAATTTTCATTCATTCAATTCAATCCGCTACTCATTTCAGCCTCATTGATTGGAGGTACCAACACGTTATTTGAACTTTTCCTTGTTTCCAGCTCGTCAACCAAGTTGCATCACAGGGAGACCAACAGAGCCATAATCGCACTAACTCTCCACTGTTCTTTGTGAACAGCGAGTTGAATGGCAATCAACTCACCGGTTCAATTCCAGCTGGACTTGGAGAACTGACTGCTCTGAAGTACCTGTAAGTCATGGAAAGCAGGCTGGTATGTCAGTGGACACAGTTGTGAGGCAAAGAGTCCAGCTGCTGTATCATGGAAGTTGGCTTCATGGATTTAAGCTACTCAGGCTTGAGAGTAAAATGAAAGACAGAATCTTTCCACAGCATTTGAAAATCTTTGCACTTGTCCTATTGTATCAAGCAAGCCCTCAAGAGAACTTCTTGCGGTTTGTGTTTCCAGACAATCGCCCCACTTGCATGCTATGAGACCATAGGAGCGAACAATAATGCACCCACTCTTCACCAACCTCTGTGAGCAGGTTATTGGACAATAATCAACTCACCGGGTCAATTCCAGCTGCACTTCGAAACGCGGCTGCATTAAAATACCTGTAAGTCATGTGAAAGACATAGAAGTCAGGTAAGTCAAGGCGTGAAGCTACCTAGGTCTGAAAAACACTTGTGCCTATCTGATATGTTTCTTCTAGTGGCATACCTTCCATTCATTCACCCTAATGCGCTGCCTCGGTGTGCTCTAGTAACAAAACAATGCGCAATCTTCATCATTGCTGTTTTCAAACGCTGCATGCTTGCAAGCAGCTTGAATCAACCTCTGTATGGGGTTTCATCTCGAGGAGCATCAGAAGTAGCCTGTAAGCATGTAAGCGTGTAAGCCTCTAAGCCTGTAAGCCCACAAGCCTGCAAGCCCTCAAGCTTGTAAGCCTTGATCAGCTCTTCAAGCGTGTGCAGCACTTGAGGCATTCCACACCAAGACGAGCAGCTTCATCTAACATTGCAGCCATGAGTGCATTCTGTTGGTTGCTGTATCACTCTCTGGGGCCGCGTATGTGTAACTGCTCCCGCTCACCTCCTGCCTCGCCCATTGTTACCATTTCCATGCCTCTTCCAACTCATCCTTAGCAGAAGTTTCAAGAATAATTACTTGACCGGTTCCATTCCCAACAGTCTCACCTTGCTCACAGGACTTGAACAACTGTGAGAATTTCTGACGTGGGAAAGGTAGATCATGCTGCCATGGGAACTCAATCACGCTTGTCCACGATGCAAACTTGCATATACGTTGTTGCATGTGACACCACCTCCCATCTTATCATGGTCCTCCCTCCAATGCTCCACTGCCAAAGGTTTGTACGGGCTGTGAGCTCGTGAATGGCAAAACGTCTTTGCATTACCTGTGCGCTCTGTGCTCACACACACCTTCCACCTTTTTAACAATTTGCACTCGCTATGACTAGCCACTTTCGCTTCCTCCCTCGTCTACGAACGTAACAAGCCTTTGAAGTATACGTTTTGCATTTGTTCCGACCTCGCTTATCCTCTCAACTTTCTTTTCAACGATGGTGTCTTGAGCCACCACACTGAAGTAGATCGCCTAATTTGCTTCACATAGAAGATTGACGTACGAACTTGAGCGGACATTACCCATTACGATTTCTTTGGTACAGCCCAAAGGCTTAAAGTACGTCACAACACAAGCTGGAGTTCGTGGATGTAATTCATACTGTGATTGCATAAGTCGGGTATATTTGCCAATAGAACCGTGCCAGGGTTCATTAAATGAAGGTTTGGTAATGTGTGTGTGGCACCCAATTTGGAAAGAAAGCTATACCAAGATGTCAGAATACCAACACGGATATGGGGTTGCAGTGCAGTCTATTTCTTGCAAACAATGATCCAGGCAGTGATTTATATCAACTCTTCCACCTTGTCTGAACAGAGGCTTAAGCAACAATCAGCTCACCCGCTATATTCCTTCTGCATTTGGAAACCTTTCGTCGCTGATATTCTTGTAAGTTTCCTTATTAGGCTTGTTAATCCTGGTGTATGAAAAGCTGAATTAAACATGAGCATACGGAACTTATGCTTCCCTAATCCTCAGATCTATGCAGCACAGGGACGCTAGCATCACACAATGCTTGACATTCGTGGGAGAAGCAAGTGGGAGAAGCAAGCAATAGTGGCACAGGAGAGGTTCCCGACTGACACTCTTGATTCCAAGCATATTGGGGCTTGGTACTTAAGGGTACTGCATATGTACAAGCATGTACTGTAAGAACTCGTACTGGGTGAACACCATGCGGGGATTGAGTTGTTTTTCATCCTTGTTGCCCAAGGTGGTGGTGTCATCCCTCAGTTAACGGGCAGTTTGGGTTGGGCCATGCGAGGCCATGCTGTGGTTTCTGGCGCGTCGCATTGACGGGCCGGGCTGCAATCCGACTGTCACAGGCCGTTGACCTTAAATTCATGCCCTTTACTAGTCCCGGGAGAATGAGCCAGTCCTCAGGTGTAATGGGCCACGTGTGGCTTAAAACAAAGCTGTGAGGTGTCCTGCCCATTCCACTTTTGTACAATTCTTGATTTTGTGAAGTTGGTGTCAGAACCCAATACTAAGGTTTTGGGCATCCCTGACTGGTTTCTGATTTGAATATTTCCTACATCATGCAGCTTACCATCTTACTCCCAATTATCCCTCACTAAAGTTAGACTAGTTACGTGTTCATGTCAGACCCCTGTTGCTACATTTTACTTCGTATGCTGCTCGTGGTTTTGACAAAATAGAGACTATTCAGAGTTCATGAGTGCTCAAGATCAAAGATTTTTTAGAAGCTCCTCCTGTTTTTCAGAGTACAAGAGATTGGGATAGGTTAGAAGACATTGTGGCTATTAATCACTCAGGAATAATCGACCGAAACATAGAACTTGTCAAATGTATGACCAGAAAAACAAGTATCTGCGGTGCAAACAACAGGCCCAACCCAAGCCCAACGACATTGTGTCGAAATTTAATGTCGATGGAGTATAGAATGATGCCATGCAGCTCTAATATATTCAATTTGATCATCCTTTTCAGCTCCTATCAGCCGCTCTTATTACGCCATTTCCTAGAGCTGCTTCTATCCAAGTCCGCTGCAGCTCGTTCTCCTCAGTGCACCAAACAATGCTTACATGCTTTTCACCGTGGTCATGACAACACCCCATTGGGTTGCTTGCTTGCGCCTGCCCCCCTTTACTGCATTTCTCACAGGTACCATCTCCCTCCCCACGTCTTCCATTTCAACCCACACACACAGGGAATTAGGAGGCAATTCTTTGACTGGCTTTATTCCTGAAAGCATCACCCTCCTCAGATCACTTGCACGATTGTAAGAGGCCTTGAATGTCGTTGACATAATTTGCAATGCCCGTGCACTTTGCATGCTCACACCTCCCCTGGGCTATTGGACGAATCGTTTAGGCAGAATTCTTTCATCTTCCCCTCCCCTGTGAGCAGCTGCCAAATTTGCATCATACTTCACCGTCAGAGAATTAAAAATTCCAACTTTCCACCCTCTGTGAGCAGGGACTTGAGCAGGAACCAGTTCACTGGATATATACCTGCTAGGATTGGAAACCTTGCTTCCTTGAGATACGTGTAAGTCGTGAGTCATGTAAAATAGGCTGATATTGAGGGCGCATACTTCAAGTAGAAGATCCTTGAAAATGAATGAAATTCCTAAGCTTCAGCTTTCTGCCATTGTGTACTCAACAATCTAACGCACAAGCTTTTTGGTGTTGTCAGACAATCCATGCTTGGACATCACCAACCTTGTGTTGCATGCCATGTGTGAATCGCTTCCCTGTGTGCATATGGCACGCATTCCCTCCTCTGCATCCATCCTTTGGATTGACATTCTTGGCTCGCTTATAGCCTACTTCACCAGCCTTGTGACCCGACCTGATAAAAAAACAGAGCTTTCGCTTTTCGTGTCCGGTTCACTTGCCAGCAATATGTCAGATAAAGAAAATTTAGATGTTATTTGGTAACATTTTTTGTCTCTTATGGAGACTCTTTGAGTTGCGGTCGCGTCACACCTAGATTGTCACACACATGTGTCCCACATCTGTGTGTGTGCCTCCCTGTTCCGTTCATATCATTCATGCCATCGTTGAAGTACATTCCTGTGTGCTGCTGCTGCCGTCTCTTGTGCCTTCAGCCACCTCTGCCTGTGGCTCCACTCCTCTGCCTGTCTCTCTTTCCATGTTGCGCCTGTTTTTCATCTGCTTGCCCCATCCCCTGTCATTCTTCCCCCTCCTCTCCCCTCCCCTACCCTCCCCCCCTCCTTCCACCATGTCATTATTCCCTCACACCCACTCGTGCTCACTCAGCGTTCATTTTCTGTCCGCACATCCCTCCACCCCCCCCTGCTTCTCATTCCACCATGCCATACCAACCACCTTTGCCACTTCCTTTTCCAACCTCCACCGTACTGCTACACCTGCCATGATATTCCTTTACTGCTACGTTTGGCGCCTCGTTGCCCCTTCTTTTCTTCTGGACGTACTCATCCCTGTCAATCCTTCCTTTCTTTTTTGCAAAGAATATGCAAACGCAATGCAGCTCTATTTAGCTTTCATTTTCCGCATGCTCCGTACATATATTCCTAGTCGAACATCCATCCTCCCTTCCTTCCACCCCGGTTGCCCTGCCTCATTCACTCCCCTTACTCCCATGGCTCCACGCACGGGTGCTTGCTCTTCATGAACCTTTGATCTTCATGGACCTTCAGGTCTTTGAGTACAAATCGCTTGAGTGGGTCCATTCCAGCAACTATGGGCAACATGACCAACTTGCAGATTCTGTAAGTGGTGGCAGGCAGTAATATGGTCACCTTCTCGGGTGGTCTGGTGGCAGTACTTGTCTGATAGCAGTACACATTGATTTATTGTTACCCCTACCACAGTGATGTGGTTTTGTTGGTTATGACGGAGAATTCAATTTTACCTCATGTTCCACTCGCTGTTGTGAATCCAGGCGACTGAGCAACAACAACCTATCAGGACTCATCCCACCACTGATAAAAAGCATGCAGAAGCTGTGCGTGATTGACAAACATCCAAGAAGCTCTTTGCTGTGTATAGCATTCCCCTGTTGCATCTCTTCTCTATGCTCCATGTCTGATCCTTCTGGCCTTCCGTTTCACATCTTTTCCCGCCCTTTTGCACTTATTGAATCTTTTCTCCCCCTCATTTTCCATTCTTCCCTTCCACATCCACACGACCACTCTTTCTCTTGCAGAGATCTCAGTGCGAATCTTTTGAGTGGATCCATTCCTGCAGATATCGGCAACATGACCAGGTTGCTTTATCTGTGAGTCTCTTGTCAACTGTGCTGTGCTGCATAATACTTGCTCTTGACTGGACGCGGTGCCCTTTGCTTGTTATGTGTGCCTTTTGGTGTTGGAGAATGGGACTTGGTAGTCTAACAGGAGAAGTGCAAGAACACGGAAGTTGGAAAGCATCGTCAACCACATAGCACAGCACGCAGAGCACGCACTGACCTCCCTCGATGGTCGCACTTCTCATCTCATGTGCTACGGTTGCTACCCTGTGCAACGTAGGCAGTTGGACCTTTGCCACCCGCACCACCAATCATCAGTCTCAAGTTCGTTCGCTCGGCCAACCATCTCTCTCAGTTCCTGCTTCAAAAGGCTCGTCCCTTTCTGCACCTTTTGCGTCTGTATGTCAGGAAGTTGGCAAACAACCGCTTAAGTGGATCTATCCCAGCAGCCATAAATCGCCTCACCAGCCTTACGTTTCTGTAATCATCCCTCACTCTCGTGCCTTGAAGTCCAAATGAGTGGCTATGCTACACTTCTGAGACACTGCAGCCATTGCCAATGCTTTGCATGATGCGCGTAGATATCAGCACTGCTCACAACTCCCGAGTCCGTCAAACGTCAAGACTCACATCGACAAAGTCTTTCATGACGTGGCGCCACCGTTGGCTGGTGTAAGTTCAAGACAGCATAAGTGTTGCATGTGTGGCAAAAGGCGGATGACTGTTCTTCCTTGTATCACATCGATGGCCTTCGCAGATCTTTTGTCTGCTGCTGCCACGGGCCCCAAGCGTGACTGATGCTCAGTTGAATGTCATAGCTCACGAGCAGTTGCAATGAATTGATTCATTGGCAGCACTAGGGAATTGCAATCCATTGTGGAGAGGGTCATGGAGCTGTGGCTGGTTGGGTGAGGAGTTTTTCATCCAAGAATTTGGCACCTTTGTGAGACAGTGCCTGTGGGGTATGATAGGAGAGAAGAACACGTCAATAACTTACGTTAATCAGGTATTTTCACCAGGCCTTGTAAATCTCCACTTCACGGCATGTATTGCCGTCCTGGAGTCAAGGATTTCTGATCCCTTCACAGCATTTCTCCCTTCCTTTTGGCCTTGCCCCTCCCAACTCTCACATGCTGTCTTCCACACCTGCACCTGCCGGCTTTTTGTTTCTGTGCCAACAGAGATTTGAGTGCCAATCACTTGCACAGCTCCATTCCTGCCGGTTATAGCACGCTCGTTGACTTGAAGTTTCTGTGAGTATCCCAGTGATCGTTCCGTTGCCACCTTCATGTTTTCACAACTTTTTGACCAGTGGCCTTCTATAAGTGAAGATTCTGTATTTTCGCCATGTCCAGGTGGCCGGCAGCCGCATAAACTCGGAGTTACTGTGCAAGGGCGGTCTTAGAGAATGTAAGGGTGAAAGGAAGGGGTCTTGCGGTGGTCATTTACGAGGGCGGGCCTAAGCATATTTAGAGAATCACACTGCTGCACAGAAATTACTTGTCCATTTCGTTTACTGGAATGCAGGAACAATCACATGGGTCTGGGTATGTAGAAGAGGAGTTTATTATGTGTTTTGCAGGTCTGGGTATGTAGAAGGAAGAAAACACGGTTCGCTGCTCCTATTTCAAGGCAAATGCGGTGCTATCTGCTGATGTTCAGCGCTCCAATGTGTACCCTAAAAACAGGTCCCTTGGGAACAACAATCTGTCTGGACCCATTCCAGAATCATTAATGGAACTCACCAACTTAAAGACCATGTATGCGTTGTGTGTCCTTTGAAATGATAAGAGTAAAGTCTTTTCGTGAAGTGAAGTGAACGTCGTGTGCTGCCTTTCTCATTGAGCCAGTTGTTGGTATTCTCGCGCTATAAACTACATGTCCATTTTCCGATTGCTTCTTTCATCAGATCCTTTAGCAACAATGCATTCAGTGGCACCATTCCCAAGCTCATTTCAAGCCTTGGGCGCCTTGAATCCCTGTACGTACGCATGAGAACATATGGCCATTCCATTGCGAGCCCATCGGAGACAGACCCGAGGAAGGACCCACTTTTTTGGAAACAGGCCCAAGGATGGCCTGGCCTTTTGGGGCTGCCCTATCTTGAAGGCAGTCTGGGCCTGCACCGCGACACTGTTCGGTTCAGAGTGATGGTTCTGGGCCAGTGTGGCTCGTCATGAGCCGCCATTGTTAGTCCCATTGTAACAGGCTGGCTTCGTCCCGATCGTTTGGGATGGTTTGAACTGCCCACTGCAGTATGGCCCATACGGATTCGCTCGCATCAATTCAAAATTATTCCCTTTCCAGTCTCATTTTCACTCGAAACCATGCACACAACATTCTCGCAGCTCTTTCTGCCTCTTACGTTGCTGTCAATATAGATTCTTTACTGTTTTGTCGCATGCATGGCTGTGGACGTGCCCTCAGTAAAGTGGCTCACAACAATCTCAGTGGGTCCATTCCCATCACAATGCAGAGCCTTGAGAGACTTCAAGTCCTGTGAGTCGCTTCACTCAGAAATTGATGAGTGTAGAGGAGGTTTAATTTACTGCTCTGGCAACAAGGACAGAGTCATTAGAATACTCTCTCCATAATTGCCGCCTCCATTGGTTTACTACCATGCATTTCAGAAAGCTCCATGGTTGTTTCACATTCAGTCGATTTGGGCAGACGAAATTCTCCTCTATTTTCATTTCAAATTCTTAACCGAGGCTTCCCGACCTGGTTTCTACGGTTCATTCATGCAATGTCCATTTACACACATCCTCGTGGGCAGGCACATGAACAATAACCAGTTCTCTGGGAGTATTTCTGGCGTCATCAACCTGCCTAATCTGATCCATCTGTATGATCCATCTGTATTTCTGGTGCTTGTTCTATTCTAATGAATGTTGTCTGGGTGGGTTTCACGGTGCTGCAATGGTGGAATCTGAGGGAATGATATGATGCAGCCCATTTTTTTGGGGGTGGCAACTGTTTTTTCTACAGATTGGGTTGAAACTTGTTGCAGCATGCATAATTCAGGGAGGCTATAATTTTCTCCCACTATTCTGATTTTAGACTCATCAACAAATGACGTACCTGGCTGGTCACCTCAGGAATCTTGGCAACAACGTGCTTAATGGCTCCATTCCGACGTTCTTTGATCAGATTTCTGCACGCACCAGCATGTAAGTGACTGCAGTACGAATCTGCGTTTCCCTGACTCCTTGAGTGTTGCGGCATTCTCTTTGCTCTGTGTCTGCTGGTTGTTGCCTTTTCTGATTGTCTTCCCCTCGTTATATTAGGCTACTGTGCGTTGCTCTTTGAGTTGCTGAATGTGGTGTACAATTCATCGTATAGCATGGCTTGCTGCCAAGCATTCATGTGTGGTGCTCTTGAGTTGGCAGGGTGTTAAGTGGGAATCAGCTGAGTGGCTCCATCCCATCCTCCATGGCCTATGCGAGTCGCTTGCAACGCTTGTGAGTTCACTCGTTGCACGTTCCAAAGCTGTTGTGTGTGCAATAGATTGACCATAGGTTATGAAAGCACACATTTCGTAGGGGCTCGGAACAGTTGATTGAGTAGCATTCACATGAGGCACACAGTATGTCTGGTTGTCAGGGTCTCCGTGGTGCTTGGTATGATAGCAAGCAGCAATGAACGAAAGATATAGTGCACAGAAGTGGCTTCAAAAGTTTATAGCGGATTGGTCATAGCCACAGATTATGTGCTCTCAAATGGATTTGGAGTGTCTTAATGTGGTTCACAATTACCAAGTTCGATCACTCTATTGAGTTAGATCAAGGTAGCAGCATAAGAACCAACCCGCAGGCTTTACTCTACATTTCAGGTGGTTGGACTACAATCAATTGAGTGGGCCTTTACCCGACACATTTGTAACTCTATCAGAGCTTACCTCTTTGTAAGATGATCCACTATTCTCTATTGTAAATATTCTGCCCTTTTTTTTAATCTATTGTTTTTTTTTTCTGTATTCGTGATTCCAGCTTATTGGATTCAGTTTTATGGTAATGAAGCTGCTTGCTCTTCCATGGATGAGACGGGACATGTGCCACTTTCTTCAGCCAAATCGCTTGCTGCCCGCACTGCAGGAGAGTTGACGCAACGAGCCTCAGCGGAGCGCTGCCAAGCTCGCTTGGAAGCCTCACTTCGCTCAAAATTTTGTATGTGGCACACCAGACAACCACAGCATGGTCTTGCATGTGCCTGTCCATTTAATGTGTGTGCGTGCGTGCGTGCGTGTGTGCGTGCGTGTGTGTGCTTGTTTGCATGCGTGCGTGTGTGCATGTGTGTATGAGAGTACATGTGTGTCTGTGTCTGTGTCTGTGTGTTTTGAGCCTGTGGCTTTGGTTAAAGCATCAAACGAAGTGGCTTACCCAAGCTATGAGAAGTTTCCCCAAATAAGGCAAAACTTCTTGTCTTGTCTGTAGGGTTGTAGCAAATATGTCTTATTAAGCCACAAATCCAGCCTCAATTATTGAAAGCGAGGTCACATGTTGAAGTTGATTGCGATGCTGCAGCGCAGCCTCCCATTCAGTGCAAAGAGAACACTCAAGAAAGCATGGCCACGCAAACCTGAAAATAAAATAGCGACAACAACTTCAGGCTGGCAAACAGTGTGTGCAAGAGCTTCACCATTGTTTCCGAGTTCCTATCTCTTCTCCCTGCACCAGGAACATAAGTGGCACTAGCCTCACGTGCCCTGCTGACTACACCAGCTGTGGCCCCTCCCAATCACCCAACTCATTGTTCTGCCAGACATGCAACTCCTTCTGTCAAACCTGCGGCACGGCAGCCGGTGAGCCGAGGAGGGCTGGCTGGGCATGAGGTAGGGCAGCGCATGAGGTGGAGCAGCGCATGAGGTGGAGCAGCGCATGAGGTGGATCGGCATATGATGGGTTGAAATGAGTAATTCTTTTGCAAGCACATTCGGGAAAAAGCCCTACCTAGGCGTTACAATGCATTCTAGCATACTCTGACAATCGACACAAGAGGGTTTGTTGTAGCATGCTGTAGGGTTACCATGCAGTCCGTTAACTCAACAACATTAGTAAAAGCAGGAGATCTTCCTGAACTTGACAGCTTGGCCGACTGCTTGTATGATTCTGAATATCTTCATCTCTTGCCTCTTTTCTGCACATGTTTGATTTGGCAACTCGAGACTGCATCTTTTTTGTGCCTGTGTGTAAGCAGTTACCAGCAGCAGCAGTGGCAGTGGCGATTCTTCGCCAGCAGCATCTGGAGGTGTATCAATGGGAGCCATCGTTGGCATTGCTGTTCCTGCAGTCGTCATTCTCCTCCTTCTGGCTGCCGTACTCCTCTTCTTCAGGCGCAGGAGACAGCAGGGGCCAGCTGGTGAGAAGGCATAAAGCGACTAATGATTCTCTTTACTCAGGCGAATTCATGCCCGAACATTCACATTTGGACATTGCCTGTGGCCGTTTTCTTCACTAGTGGTTGGTCTGGCGTGCAAGGAGTTCTAATATCTACCACTCTGAAACAAACCATTACTAGATAGAAAAGGACCTGTACTATGTCGGTATGTGGTTGCTGCCCTTCACCTCGCCCTTCACCCTTCAACCCCACCCTATGGCCTGACAGGCAGTCTGGCAGCGTTGCACTGCACGGAGTTTTCGCTGGAGGAGGTCCTCCAGGCCACCAACAACTGGTCAGACGACAACCTGCTTGGCTCGGGTACCTTTGGTGATGTCTACAAGGGCGTCTCTCCCCGCGATGGCAAAACCGAGTGGGCTGTGAAGCGCGCCAAGCTCATGGATGTGGACTTCCAGAAAGAGGTGAGTGAGCCAAGTATGGCGCCTTGGATTGGTTCTGTTGTGGTGAAATTCTCTAGTCGCTAGGTAGGAACAACGTTCGGTTGAGGAGGAGAATTTAAGGTAACGATACCAGACGGACCTTGAATGGTCTAGCTGACAAAATGGTTGGATGTAGGGGCAAATGCAACCTGGTATGTTTGGTATAAAAAAATCACTTAATATGTATATATATATAAATATATATATATATCAGAAATCATGCTTGACATGCAATATGATAATGCGTTGATGCAACTCCTAGGCTGCAACATATCAACCTTAGAGGCATGTAGACGAGGTTCTGACCTGAGATTCGCCAAGTGATTCGCTAACGACGTCAGTCAGCAAGGTTATTGTAGCTGTATCCAACGTGCTTTGCTTCACGCACTGCTCCGGGTTCTCCCCCTCGCTGCTCTCTTGTGTATTTTGTTCCCACAGATCGTGCAAATGGCCAACAAGAACCATTCCAACATCGTGCGCCTGCTTGGGTTCGCGGTGGGAGGGGACTTGAGGACACGGCCAGAGCACGTCTTGATCTACGAGTTCGTGTCCAACGGTGACCTCCACAAGTGGATTAAGACAAGTATGTGTGACACATTCTCCTACCCGAATCAAGTTTTATTGCCTTTGAATGATACACATGCTTCTAGACCCTTCGAGTCCGCACAACACATTTTTGGCACAAGCACTCGATTATGTTATGGTCACGGTAGGCTTCAATGTGCCTAAAACGGAAGATAGAGTGCACAGTCGGATTTCTGCACAGCGGCTTTAAACGTTCATAGCGATCTGCTCACAACTCCAAATGACCTGATTCAACTTGGATCTGGATCGTCTTAACGTCGCCTACAATAGGCAATTTAGATCGCACAATTTTACCAAGTATTGACGACACAGCGTCGGTTTGAACGAACGGCACTATGGCAGCCACTATAGTCTTAGAACACAAGATGGGAAGAGTTATGAAGAGTTACGAGTTGGGAATGACTCCCAGCTCCTAGAAACCCCAAGAGTCGAGGTACAGTGATGTGGAACAATGCCACATTGTCCCCAACCACGAAGGGTCTCGAAACTACCCTTCACAAGGGCCTACACCAAGTGAAATGTTACACTACACAAAGTAATGCAACTATCTTCAATTTCTTGAGGTGTACCCTTTGGCGAGCTTCGCGATCACTTGAATGTTGACACCACGGCTCGGGTTCTTCATCACAAACTCATCCTTGAGTTCTTGATGGGTCTGCTGCACACACCTGCGACACGCCGAACGTTCGACAAGCGACAAAATAGAAACCGCGCACGACAAAATAGAAACCGCGCGGGACACACAAAATGACCGCGCTACACGCGACTAGCGATAATTCGTTATTGACGTGACACACACACTCGACATCATGACCCATCATACACACACTATTATAAGCATGAAATATATATTATTCCATGCCCTCATTCCATTCCATGCACACATGCATGCATGCACACGGACAACAAGCCGAGTGCAAACCGTAGGGTTGCACCAATAAACTCCCCCTCGGATTGTTGGCCTTAAGATATGTTGCTCTCTCAGTTCAGAGCCATCCCAGCCAGCTTGCAACACTTCCAATGCTGCTGCTCCACCAACCTCTTGGTCATCATGTCAGCCGGCTGCCCCGTGGTCTTCACGTAGCGCAACTCAACTTCACCCGCGGCCACCATGCTCCTTGTCCAATGCCACTTCACCCTCATGTGCTTTGTCAAGCCATGCAACACGGGGTTCTTGGCTAGAGCAATGGCTCCCTGGCTGTCACAGTAGAGAGGGGCAGGTCCTTGCTGCTCCTCCCCCAATTCAGCCAACAAACGCCGCTGCCACACAATCTCCCGTACCGCACGGAAGAGTGCCATGTACTCGGACTCCACCGAGCTCAATGCTTGGTCCACCTGCTTCTTGCTCTCCCAAGCAGTAGGGCCTCCACCAACACAGCAGATGAAGCCTCCCACACTTGTCATGTCTTCTGGTTCAGATGCATATGAAGCATCCGAGTAGGCGGTGAGGAACAAACGCCCGGGTTCCACACCATCCGCCCCCTTTTGGCGCCTTTGCGCCGCCGCCGAGTATTGCAGCCCAACGGTCGGTGTTTGGCCAAGATACTTGGCCACCCTCATTCCAGCTGCTACCTGCTCCTCATTAGGGCATTGAACAACCCTTGCCAGCTGCCCGGTAGCAAACGCGACATCCAGTCGTGTGTTGACCGCCGCATACATGAGGCTGCCCACCAACGAGTGGAATCGGCGCCTCTCCTCTTCACCCACGCTCTCCTCCTCTGGTCCCTTCACACACTTGAACCCAGAGAGAAAGGGTGTAGCCACATGACCTTCACTCGGCCCAAAGTTGGCAGCCAACGCCTCCAGGTACTTCCGTTGGTGCACCCGCATGCTCCTCTTCTCCACGTCACGTTCGATGTGGAGCCCGAGGTAGAAGTTCACGTCCCCAAGGGACTTGCACTTGAACTTGTCTTGAAGCTTCAGCATCACCTCCTTCACAAGGTCAGAGGAAGGTGAGAAGATCAGGATGTCGTCCACGTACACCACAGTAAAGCTCCTCTGCTCTCCCTCACCAAGCATGAACAAGGAGTGATCGGCGGTTGAGGGAGTAAATCCGATCCCCTCCAATTTGCGCAGCTTCATGTACCACTGCCTAGGGGCCTGCTTCAGCCCATAGAGGGCTTTCTTCAGCTTCCACACTCTGCCGCTGCCAACGTCAAACCCCTCTGGTTGCGCCATAAAAATCTCCTCCTCAAGGATTCCGTTGAGGAACGCCGTTACGATGTCTAGCTGCTTCACCACCCAACCTTTGATCGTGGCTCCCGCGAATAGGGTTCGCAGCGTCGTCGGCTTCACCACTGGAGCAAACAGCTCCTTGAAGTCCACCTTCTCCTTTTGCTGGTACCCCTTGGCCACCAGCCTAGACTTGTAACGCTCGATCTTTCCGTCGGCGTCGGACTTGATCTTGAAGAGCCACTTGGACGTAATCGCCTTACGCCCCTCCGGTAGCTCCACCAAGTCAAACGTGTCGTTCTCCTCGATGCTCTTCAGCTCACTCTCCATGGCCTTCTTCCACTCTTCAGCATCACTACTCTCCAAGGCCTCCTTGAGAGTTGCTGGTTCTCCCGGCATCTCCACCGGAGAGAAGAACGCGAAGGCACACTCCTTGGAGTCACTCTCCTCGTCGTCTCCGACCATCATTGCCGCACCGGCCAGGGCTGTCTTGCCCTGCTTTCCCGGCGCATCATAGGTCAGCCTATTTGGGGCTTGAACTCTCCTCTTGACCCTTCCTTCCTCCTCAGCTGCAGGGACTTGAAGGCCTTGGCGTTGCTGCGGTGTGGCTCGAATCCGTGGAGCACTCGTAGTGCGGGAAGGGAGTGACGGTGCACGCTCGCTCACTTGCTGCACCTCCTGCTCTTCTTCCTCTGCATCATTTGCCTCCTCTCCCCCATTCACAAGGGAAGATTGCCTTGTGGTGGTGCTGCCGCTGCTCAGCTCCAAAGGCAGCTCCACATGCTCCAAGCCGGAACTCTTCACCTCTCCAAGCCGCACTCCTATCTTCGCCTCATTCTCCGCCTTCCAATCCTTGTACATGAAGTTCTTCATGAACTTGCAGGCCCTGCTCACCAAGAACTTCTTGGTGAATGGGTCCCAAAGAAGCCACCCCTTGCTGTTTTGAGCCATGCCCAAGTGCACGGCCCACCCCTCTTTGGCACCAAGCTTGTTGTGTCTAAGGTGCTTAGACACGAGCGCCATGCACATGCACCCGAACACCCGAAGCATATCCACCTTTGGCTTTCTTCCAAGCCACTCCACATAGGGCACCCATTTGTCTGCTCCTACATGAGTCAAAACTCTGTTCTTGGCCACACACGCGCTCCGCACCGCATCAGGCCAAAAATAGTCGGGTAGCCCGGCTTCAACGAGCAACCCGCGTGCCGCCTCCGTGATTGTGCGGTTCGCTCGCTCGGCGATGCCGTTCATTGCAGGGGAGTATGGCATGGTGAGAGAGTGCCGAATACCATTCTTCTTCAGCCACAACCCAAACTCCTTGCTCAGGAACTCTCCCCCTCGATCGGTGCGGATTGACTTGACTAGACGGTCTTGTTGCCGCTCCACCATCGGGAACCAATCCGTCTTCAACGTTTCAGCCACGTCGCTCTTCTTGGCCAGCACGTACACCCAAGTCATGCGGGTGTAGACGTCGACAATGGTGAGGAAATACTCAGCTCCAGCAGCTCCAAGCTTCAGGGGGCCCACCACGTCCATCACCACCTCATCAAGTGGTGCCTTTGCCGTTGCCTCCGAACTAGGGAACGGAAACCGGGTGAACTTGCCTTGAATGCACGTCGGGCAGCCAAGCACCTCATCGGGCTCCCCCTTCACACGTATGTCAGCAACCATCTGGTTCTTCACTAGCTGCTGCAAGATAGGCAGGACCATATGCCTCATTCGCCGATGCAAGGTGAGCCAATCACACTCCCCCGTAGCCGAAGTCGGGTTGGAGAATGCCGCGCTCGCAATGGCGCCCGACATGCTCTCTCCGTACTCCTCCTCCGCTGCTGCATTGGGGTTCTCCTCACCCTTGTGCTGCTCCTTGGCTGCTGCACCACACTTGTTATGATCACCGAGCTTGCTGGTCCCTCCGAGATTGCTCTTCTTGGACTCATTCTCCTTAGCGCGACCGTTCGCGCCATCACCACTACCAACCGCTTCACCCTTGGTGCTGACGCTTGCTGCCACTTGCCTCTCCTTAGGCATAGGGACCATAGGGATCTGCCACATCTCATTGTAGACATCCCTGTCCTCATGAAGGTCCCAAAGAATCCGATCGCCAAGCCTTGCGGTGTAGGTCTTGGCTCCCTTCGAGTTCGTGTCCATGCCGGCCTTTGCCAACCGCCGCACGGAAATCAGGTTTGCAGAAAGGCTGGGCACCCAAAGCATGTTGTTGAGGCCCGCCATCTTCCCATCAGCACCCTTGAACATGGCCTTGCCCATGTCTTTCACCTCCGCTCGCTGCCCCAAAGCCGATGTGACATGCTTCACCGGTGACGGTTCAAGTTCGGTGAGCAAGTCCGGGCGAGGTGTCATGCTATAGGTAGCGCCGCTATCGATCACCCAATAGTCCAGGGGGTGTAGGGTCACCTTCTCTACTGCTGCTGGCTCCTCAAAGCCTTCGTCCTTCTCTGGACCAGCCGGTACTTGCGTCGACACGAAGTAGAATAGGCCCGGGTACCGATCGCCGCTCGGGTCCTTGTCGCTATCTTCGCTCTTCATGTTTACAGCTCCGCCACCGCGATCGCCACGGCCTCCACGGCCTCTTCCTCTCCCTCCTCCTTGTTAGAGACTAAGGACGGAGTCTATGAAGATTAGGAGCCAAAATATCTCAACATCGTTGGGCCTAGTTTCTGAACAGAAAAGTCGAGTTCACAAGAAACGCCGTCGACGGAAATTTCACGGTTAAAACTTCACCAAACTCAGATATGTTGTAGCTCTACTCCGTGGCTACAATTCCCAAGTTGAATCGTACGAAAAGGTGAAGTGTGTTTTGAGTTATCG